ATAGGGACGCCTGGTGTCCGGTGCGCGCTGAGATGCGGTGCTTTGGGGGCAACGGCGGGCCTGATAGTCATGGCAGGAGTGAGTGTGTGAGTGTGTGTGTGTGTGTGTGTGTGTGTGTGTGTGTGTAAGTAAAAGGTAGAGCCAAAGGGATGAGGATGGCGGACCGAAGGTGTTGGGGGATGACATTTCCAGGAATCCCCGCTAGGATCCCTCTGCTCTCTCGGCTGCCTCTCCGGGAGAAAGAGTGTGTTGATGGTAAGGATCAAGTGTGCAGGATGCACTTGGTGTGTGAGTGTGGAGGGAGGCAGTGGGGTGGGTTCGGATTTGTAAAATCCCATGTGTGTGAATCTGTGTATGTGTGTGTGTGCTGGTGTGATTGTATCCACTCTCCCCAAACTGCTCTCCAGACCCAGAGATCTGCTGGTGCCCTGACTTGCTGTCACCCGCTGACTGTGGGACAGTGTTTGTTATTTCTACCCTGCAACTCTGAGTTCAGCCTCTGTTCTGCTTCTGTCTGTGGATGACTGGGTGTAGGGATTCTCACTTTCCCTCACTTCCCCCTTTTTTCACATGTCTCTTGACATGGGGATGTGGAAGTGTGCATGTGGCTTTGGGCACATGGCAGGGAAATAGGATAATGGTTACCGTTTCTGGGCTTACTTGTGTCCAGGTTTTGAAGGGACCTTCCATCCTGTGATACTTCTCTCCTCAGCCTCTTTTCCGTCGGGGTCTTAGATGCCCTGACTCTGCATTTTCTATTGTTTATCTCTTGTCTGACCTGAAGGAGAAGGGTCTTTAACGGCCACATCCCTCTCTCTGTCCCCAAAACTTTGAATGTCAGCCAGACCTTCTCCTTCCACATTTAAACACTGGAAATCTTATGGCTGAAGAATATGATCTTCATGTTGGTTCTGGTAGAATGAACTCTGGAGGTGTGTATAAGAGATGGGGGCCAGTATTTGAAAGAAGAAAAGGATCGTACTGAGAAATGTTTGGTACCCTCCTTGGTCAGCGTCATGCAAGCAGGGCGTTTTCCTTAGGAAAAGGGACACTTTATTTCTCCTGTGGTGATATCGACTCTTCCAGCTTTCACAGTGGCCAGGTGGTGCCCTGTCTCGTTTGGAAACTGAAATCCCACAAGACCCATGGTGATGGGGTCCCAGGTCAGTGAGTCTGCTTTCCAAGCCAATGTAGCCTGCTCATAGAGAATCTGGAAAATGTCAGGTTGGCAATAAGTCACCCAGTGGGAGCTGGGACACAGAACTGCATCCCGAGTCTATAGCTGTTTAATTGTCTCTGCGTGATAAAGATAGGCTCGTGTAGGGCTGGGGAGAGAGGGAGGGGAAGGGAGATAGCATATTCATATGTGTGTCCGCTGCAGTTTGACTCCTCAGCTCCTGTGTTCTTCCTACGGTATGTATAGGAATGAAGGCACCTTTACACTTAATATCTTGATATGTCTTTATTGAAATGTTGTGAGACTAGATCAACCTGCTTTAAACCTGTTTTAAAGTCGTAACACCTTAAATTCTACTGCATTGCTGTCAGAATCCAAACTGGCCGCCCTGGTCCTCTTGAAAAGCCAGTAGCAATCATAGCTACACAAGTAAGTATACAACACGCTGGCATTAGAGGTTTCTTTCTCTTTTAAAAATTTTTGTTGTGTTTTGGCAGAGGTTGCATTGAAAATAATAGAGTTAGGATTGTACACGTATGTTTTTTTCTTACCATTTATCTTCTCTTAATTAATGGTGATCTGTAGACCAGTTTCCCTTGAAGCTGTGAACATTAAATTTCCCCATGTCCTTCAAGTCAAGCCTTCTAAAATTTTAATGTGAGGTTGTTGGATTGCATCCAAGATTTAAGGATTGATTTATAAAAATGAATTTTGAATCTTAGTTCCTTACTCTCTTTTAATTCTGCCAATTTCTTTCTGAGAAAAGTATTTTGGAATGTAAAAGGCATTCTAAGAGGTTTTGGCTTTAAAAAAAAAAGTTGTTATCTTTGTATTTGCAAGTAAAATCCAGAGATGTAAATGTCTTGCAAGAAAGTTTAAGAATATTAGAAATTACCAAAGTAAATAAACTGTTTAGAAAAAGAATAATTGTTCAGTAGCACAATTGATGACTCAGGAATGAATGATTTCCTTTCCAGTATAACTGTGATAATTTTTAAAATGCAATACCTAACTTTCTAAAGATTGGACTGTTAAGGTTAATGATACAATTTGAATCCTGTAATTCAGTCTGTACCTTTTGCTGTAACCTATAACAAGCCATTGTTTTACATGGATGCATTTTCTCCACTTAAAGGAGTATTAATTCTTTTCTTTCCCATTATTGGTCTCTTAATTTGTTTTTTGGAAGACTTGGGAATAAAAGACATTTGAAAAATGACCCATGGGGCCAAAATAAATAAATAGCAGTATCATGGGGAGGTGGGACTTCTATCCTACAAGATGGGAAGAGTAACTGTTAAAACTGAGAGCATTTCAAGCAGTAAAATTCAAAGTTAACCCTTTGGGTTACAATCATTAGTTTACAAATATTTGTTAGTTGTCTACTACATCTTAGACCCCGTATGCCTTTGGATAGGGTTTGGGAAATGTTATGAGGGCTGGAGATTTGAAGACTAAGGAGACATAGATCCTGCCCAGAGGAAGTTCATGGCTTGGAGGGAGAGACAGGGCATGCATGTAACTAACTGAAGAGTGGTGGAAAATGGTTAAGTGCTGGAAAAGCAATATGCTTGCAGAGCTGTAGGAGTTCACAGGATACAGCAATGACTTCAAAAGGAAGAATCAAAAAAGAGTCTATGGAATAGGGAGCCTTTGAGCTGATATTTGCATAGGTGGAATTTGGGCTGCCAGAGGAGGAAGGGTATATTTGAGGGGGGAACAGCATAGCAAAAGCCCGGTGTTGGGAAGTGTGTGTCCATACAGGGAATGGAATGGTGTGCTTGTGTCCATTATTTCTCAATAAAACTAGGAGGGGAAAATGAATGGTATACTTTGGCTGGAGCGCAGGAGATGCCCAGAGATGTAAAGAGAAAGAAGGTAAGAAAGACAGGGTCATTCACGGTTGTGGAGCAACTTTTGTAGGGATTTTATTCAGTAACTACCAGGGAGCCTTGGAAGGTTTCTGAGGAGGAGGGTTGACAGGACCAGAACTGTGCTTTGGAAAGGGTGATAATCTTGTAGCATTGTGTTGGATGTAATGCAATGAGGAGAGACTGGCAGTAGGGAGACCAGTTAGACTTTATTGTCATACTAGGGGTAAGAGGAAATGAGGCAGTGGGAGTGAAGAGGAGACGGCGGACTCAAGAGAAAGGATACAGGAATAATCTGAACACGGAGCAGGGAAGTCAAAGGTCATCGTCAGGCTCAGCCAAGAGAATGATTGTGTCATTGTTAGGAAGGAGCTTGAGGAGAGAATGAGGAAGAGGGGGAAAAAGAAGTTTCATTTTTAGGCATGAGAGTTTTGTCCGAATGAACGAACTACAATACAAATGTAGGTCTTCGAGAAAGGTTAGAGCTATGAAGAGAGATTTGTAAGTCATCTACTTAAGAGCAATTTTCATGTCTCAGAGATGGCCAGTAAAGAAAATGGAGCACAAAGAGGCAAAGAATAAGGGTAGGATCCTTGGGAGGTAGTCTTTGCATTGGAGGGGAAAAGGGAAAAAAGAGGATCTGAACAAGGGGCAGTTGTAGAAATGTCGTGGCAGTAGTATGGTGTCATGGGAGCTGGGAAAGGTGAGGGAGCCCCTGTCATTCATACAGCACACTCCAAGGTGGAGAAGGGGCAGTGAAGGAAGAGCCATTGGATTTGACTCCTGGCTTTCCTTGACTTTCTCTGAGGTGGGTGGAGATGGCAGCCAGGCTGTGAGGGCTTGGAGAGTGGGGTGCGACGCATATGAAAGCAGTGAGGACAGATTTCCTTTTTAATGAAGTGGGGTGGTGAAGAGGAGGGAGAGAGAGTTTGATACATCAAAGGTAGGGCAGAGTGCAGGGAAAGTAATGCTTTAGTATAGGAAGACCTGAGCCAACTTTATAAGTGGAAAAGGATCCATTAAAGGGAAGAGAGATTGAAACTGTAAGGGAGAGGCCAAACTGATGGGATGGATCTTCAAGAAGATGGGAGTATACTGCATGAACGCAAAGGAAGGACTCTTTGGAGGCAGAAGCATGGGCACTTTGAGGTAGAAAGAAAGGAATTTGGCCACAGTCTTCTAAGTAAAGTCAAAGAGAGGTGGGCAGGTTGAGGTCATGAATAGAACACTGACGACTTGGACTGTGTGCTTTGGAAATGTAGCAGTCAGTCAATTAGGGGTGAATAAAAGATCCTCACCCAGCTGTGAGGGTCTCCTGTGTTTGGAGAGCATGAAGTTGTGCTGGAACCAGTTAGCTTATATAATTAGAGCTTGACAACTACTTGTGTAAGTTTTGGAATAGTGAGCATTAAATGTTAAATACAGTGGTTCCTCCTTCCCTTAAACTCAATGAAAAGAGAAAAATATTTACTTTTAAAATTAGCTAAATAAAAGATTCCATCTGAAGTGTTTCCCGTGACTATTCTCTCTAAGGGATTGCTGGCTTCAATAAATAAAACATGATAAAATAATGGGAAAGAACATCTTTAGAAAAGGTGAGCCTTTCCCATCTGTAACGGCAGGACGTGGCAAAAGGATCAATGCCGTACCCATCAGAAGCACTCAATAAATATTCGTCTCATAAATACATGAATAAATTAATTTTTTTTTTAGTAAAGTAGGTGCAGTATCTAAGACCTAAAATTTCAGAATTTTTTTCCTATTTACACCAAGGACATTGAATGAGTTGTATTACATGGCCTATTCAAGTTTATGATAGAATTAAAACTTTTATTTATTCATACCTGCTACATACATTGAAGCTTTATTTTTTAATTTATTTTATTTATTTTTTTATTTTGGGGGGTAATTAGGTTATTTATTAATTAATTGATTGATTAATTTATTTATAATGGGGGTCCTGGGGGTTGAACCCAGGACCTTGTGCATGGTAGGCACACACTCTGCCACTGAGCTATAACCTCCCCCTACACTGAAGCTTTAGAAAAGTTTTTTCACAAAATAATTTTGTACCCTTTAGACCCTTGAGTTACAGGGTCATGTCATGACTCCAGACGAGCTTACAGAAACTCACCTGTGGTGAGTGATGATTTGGGGGTTCTAATGATGAAGTCATTTATTCATTTCTTCAACAAATGTTCTCTGAGGACCTTTTCTCTGCCATTCACCATTCTTGGTGCGAGGGATACAGCAGCGGGGAAAAGTCCCTACTCCTACTGACCTTTTAGTGGGAGGAGATTAAAAAATAAATAAACAAATATACAATATGTCAGGTGGTGCTGAGCACTATGAAGAAGAAAGCAAGGAAGGAACAGTGTGGTCATGTCACTGGGGTAATGGAGGTTGCTGTTATTTTGTGTAGGGTGTTCAGGGAAGGCCTTGAGCAGAGAGAGCTTAAAGAGGCGAAAGAATGAGCCATGCAGATATTTAAGGGAAGCGCCTTCTAGGCAGAGAATATCCGGAGCAGAGAGCCTGAGGTGGGCACATGCTTCGCATGACCAAGGAAGCCTCCCTGGTTTCCTTGCTCCACCTGGCCGAGTCGTTGTATCACACATCGATGACGTGGTCACCTAGGGACCCTGCAATGCGATGCTTTGCCTCTCAGTACTGAATCAGTCGCCCATAAGGCTGCATCACCGTGTACCACATTTCGGCTGACCTGTGGGTGAGTCATGCTGGGTTTATAAAAAGATACATGTCCTCAATCAAACATTGAAATTAAAAGACTTGAAGAGTGGCTCTGAGTAGTGATGAAAACTAGTGAGCTGGAAGTAGGCTACCTCCTTGGAAGTGCCACATCACTCTTCTGCCGCCTGAATCTTCTTTAGTTATAGGGTTCCCTTCCTTCTTCCGTACGTCATGTCTCATTCTCAAGCCTAGGGTCTTTGAAACTAGAATTATATTTTGTTCATCTGGGCATACCCTACAACCCCTAGAAAAACTCTTTGCATTAATAAGGGATCATCAAATACTCATTGAAAGGAATGGGTGAGACATTGCCAAAGATCTAAGCAATTCAGGAGCAAAGAATGAGGGTAAGCCTCTTTCACCTCGATTTCTGCAGACAGCTGTTTTTCAAAGAGGACACAGAGTCGCCACATTATGCTAAGTAGTTTATGCACACGGGGCCTGAGACGAGGACTTGGGTACAAGTAATCTATTTGGGAAGTGATCCCAAGAAGCACATGTGAAAGAGTGGAGGAGGGAATGAGACAGGGAAGAAAGGAAAACCAGTCAGAGGCAGGCTCATGAGCAGATTGCCATTGTGGGCAGTGGAGGCTCCATTCTTTACGATTGTCCACCAAGCAGTGGGGAAACTGGGATGTTTATCCACCATTTAATGCCCGGGACACTGAGTCTCCAGCTCTTTAGTGCTGCCAGTACAAGCCTGAGCAAGCTTTGGAGGCACCAGGGAAAGCCCTTGGGTAGCTAGGCAGAGAGGCAGAGCGGGCGGGAGGTGGGAAGCCGGCAGTGTGCAGGACAACTGTCTATCCAAGCTACAGGTGGCCTCAGAAGTGGGCTGAGGGGACATGAGGCAGTGCAGCAACAGCCTCTGTTCCACATGGCCCAGGGGCAGCACAGAGAGTTTTTCACAGATGAGCATTTGTTTGATAGCAGTTACTGGTATTTTATTTCAGGAATTTTAATGTATTGCAACAGCTGTTCAAGTTCACTCACAAGCCAACTATTGACAATCCTCAATTATCTGGGATGCAGATAACCATAAATGCCCGTGTGTAAGGTACCCTCGATTATGAGGTAGTCCCCAGTTTTCCAACAAGACGGGTTTTTAAAAGGCTTTATAGCAACTTGAACATGCACATTTTAGGGATATAGATAAAGTATGAAATATCTGCTTATTTATTAATGTACTTGCATATATTTTAAGTCACATTATATAAAATCAGTAATTAAAAAAAGTGACATTCTTCTACTTTCACATTTTACAAAATCATTTATTCAAATGTTCCTTTGACTTCAGAGTCTTTTTCATCACTAGGCTACTTTTGGCATATTCATTTCTATCTAGCTAGTTTGAAATATAGTACTTCTTGAATTTCCATATGATGCTGCCACTGCAGACTTAATTCCAAGGCCTGTGTGCCTATTCACACAGCATAAGAACAGTTGTCTTTTTCTTTCCTTCCTGTAGGTGTGTATTAGTGATCTCCACAACCCGGCACTTCTGCATGACTTGTATAGGGACATCCACTACGGGCAGTGGTGAAGGAACAGTTACTTAAACTGACGTTAAAGTCTTGGCCCCCTTCATTCATCCACTTATCTATCCTGTTTCAATCCTGTGACTTCCGTAAGCATCCCTATGTAGAATTAACTGCCATTGTTTCAGGCCACCTTCTCCAAATAGTTCTCAAGTAACCTCTGAAACGTACATCTCCTTTTCATAAAATCCTCAGTCTTATCAGGTAAGTGTTTTTGACATGGTTTCTCCCTTTAAAATCAGTTGCCATCACATCCAGCATTAATGAATTGCTTGACTTCTATTCCTGTTATCTTGGAGATAATAGGCTTTTTGCTTTTTGGCATTCAGAAGAGAGTAATTGAGAGAATGCTTTATAATATGGGAGACTGGATATGGAGTTAAGCACAAGGTGACTTTCTCTCCTCTGAAATTTAATTTTGGGGGAACTAAAAATCTCATCTTATTTTTTTGTACATGCAAAGTGATCATAGGAGGCTGTTGAGGTATGGTGGTGGTAAAACCATAACTACCCACTAAGTTTCCTCTCCAGCCTCCTCCTCTTCTGCTCCATGGTGGATTAATTAGTGTGGAAAAAATACAGCAATGATTTTGTTTCATGAAGCAGGTGATCAGCTGTCATTCTGAACAATATAATCATTTATGCTTCTGACTTGATGCATTTTATATTCCCAAGATCAATTCTGTATTCATTGACAGATATACTTTATTTTAAAGAAGAGGTATACTTGACAGCATGTGCATAAATCCTATTTCCTGTAAATTGTAGCACATCTTAAATGCAGAGGAAGAGCTGGTGATATAAAGAAATTCCACTTAACGAGAACAATTACCCCCTCACGTGGCTCTTCAATGAATTAGGATTTTCATACTAGACTTACCCACACACTCTATTTCAGTGCCTTTAAACTTGTTTGACCGTGATCCCTCAGGAGAATACAGTTTATATCATAGCCTAGCAATATAGATGAGTGTGTGTAAACACACACACCTGCACGTGCATGCACAAACATATCACTGAAACAAAACTTGTCCTTTATTATACATAATGCACTTGGATATTTTCTGTTCTATTCTGTGTGGTTGCCAACCCACTAAACTAATTTCAGCACTCATGGGTCCTGACATGCAGTTTAAGAAACGCTGTTCTGTTGTATCACAACCATCAGAAGAGTGCTTATTGTCTTATTGTGGGAAACAATTTCACATCAGAGTTTGTAAAATTTGTTTCACATCATTAGCATATTTGGATATTTGGTGGTTTGGGTGTATGATGTCACAATAATACTAAAGGGAAACTTTATTTTGAGTAGCTGCTTTATTTCCAAAAGAAGTAATTTTTAGCATGAAAAGTGGAAAGTGGAGTAAGATGAATGGATTGGTTTTTAAATCTAGCGGCTTTCCTAGGCTGTGTAAACCATGTCAAGTGCCTGGGCCCCGACCTCGTCACCAGACTGATCATCGCTCATGAGTCTGGCTAGTCTCTGTCCTGTCCTCTCTTCCTGCCTCTTTCCCAAGTCACTGTCCTCAAGCCCCAGGAGTTCTAGGTGTTCAGTTCAGTTACTTAATTCTCAATTTCAACCTAATATATTTCTTCCCAGATGTGAAACTAGTTTTCACACCCACTTCTCTTCCAAATAACTTGAAAGTACAAGAATCTTTTTTTTTCCTGAGCTAATACCTAGGAGATTTCTGTCCTAAAGGGGCTAGAATTTGTTCCACAGGTAGAATGTTTCCGTAGTGTTGGGTGGAATGAGCGTCTAACCTAGTCTGATGTTCAGGTGTGATTACACTCTTTATGGCTCTCCAGTTATCTAATGTAGGTACATGTCAACTCCTTTTTAAAAGCCCAATAGGTTCCCCATTCAGTGAATGAAAGCAGGTTCACATCATAGCTACAGAGTGCCAGGCACGGGGCTCAGCACTGTGCACAGGTGACTCACTTGCTTCTCATTAGATCTCACTCTTCATAACCGTATCAGGAGCAGACTTAGATTGTAGGTGGAACTTGAGGCTCTCAGACGTTCTCGGTGACTAAAGGACAGGGCAAGGGGACTCACCGCAGGTCCAGGGGTAGGGACAGGCCCCGACAGCTTCCAGTCCCCAAGTCTCCCTTGTCCTGGGGCCCAGCAGCAGCCCCCCGCCCCACCCCGTCTGCCCAGCTGGGCTCCCTTGTTTATGATGCCCTCGTCCCACGTGGGATGTCTGTATGTGTGTAGCTGTTGCACCAGCCTTTCTCCAGTCTCTGCACCCTGGGGTGGAAAGGCTCAAGACGGAGGTACTATGGTGCTGCCAACATTGAACAAGTCTCTAGATTGGGCCAGCTATGAAAGGGGGTATGATGAAACCTGGCCTTCCCTTCTCTTCCCACAGTGGGCCGCTGGCTGAGAGGGGCAAATGGGAGATAAAGGGCTACAGGAAAGTGAGGTAGGTGTGTCACTTCCTTCATAATGACCTCAGGCAGAAGTGATGTCTCCCTCTTCTAAACCGGCAGTCGGCAAAGTTTCTGCATAGGGCCAGATAGTAAATATGTTCTGCGGGCCGAACAGTCTCCGTCGCACCTTCTCAGCTTTGCTGTTCTACTGCAAAGGCAGCTGCAGGCAACATGTAAACCAATGAGCAGGGCTGTATTCCAATAAAACTTTATTTAGGGGTGCTGAAATTTGAATTTTGTATCACTTTCGCTTGTCACAGAATTTTGATTCCTCTCTTAAATTTTTCCCCCCTGCCATCTAAAAATGT